CGGATACGGTATTATCCCTGAGCTGGTCATGTTCAGTGCTGCTCAGAGCCATTGTTTATGCCAGTTTCAGTCTGCAGCAGAGTGTTGACGCACCAGCCCTCTTCCTGGATCTCTTTCAACCTTCTCCAGCTCTCTGGATCCATGAGGTCAGACCTCTTGCCAGTTCCACCAGGGGAGTAAACTCGGTGCCCTGTCAGAACACTTTGGTAAGAATCCCCATGAAGGAGAACCTCACAGAAATTTCCTCCTGCTCAGCCCCTCCTGTGTGTGGGTGTGGGGGGGGCAATCTGGCCTCTAGTTGCTTGAAACGCACCACTTAGTAATAGCCGCATTATGGACGTCAAATGTTGCCTGACTACTGAGCAGCCAGAGGCAAGGGCAGGTCTATAGGCAATGGTCTCTTGTCATTACAAACATGACTCACACTAGATTAATGCGCCCCCCCCCCCCCTTCCCTCCCATAAAAGCAAGTCAGAGGTGTCTTGCCGTTGACGGGGAGGTTCGTGTCCTGACCTTCTAAGTATATTAAAGAACAACATGGAGTGTACCAAAGGCATGCAGAGCTTGCTAGTTGGTGGGGCCTGATCCGAAACCCAAGCAAGCAAGTTAGGCACCTTTCCATTAATTCAAATGGGGTTTGGGTCACACCCCTGCTCATTTAGTTAATTAGAAGCAAGGGTCATAATTCTGACAGAAAGTTAATAAATTGGGACTCAATCATTAATGGTTAAGAAAAATGTTATTAAAGAACAGTCTGGCCAGGAGACACACTTAACCTTGAAATTAGAAAACTATCCAGTGGATCAGTGTTTCCCAAACTTGGGACGCCGCTTGTATAGGGAAAGCCCTGGCGGGCCGGGCTGGTTTGTTTACCTGCCCCGTCCACAGGTCCGGCCGATCGCGGCTCCCACTGGCCGCGGTTCGCCGCTGCAGGCCAATGGGAGCTGCTGGAAGCAGTGGCCAGTATGTCCCTTGGCCCGCGCCGCTTCCAGCAGCTCCCATTGGCCTGGAGCTGCGATCGGCCGGACCTACGGACGGGGCAGGTAAACAAACCGGCCTGGCCCGCCAGGGCTTTCCCTACACAAGCGGCATCCCAAGTTTGGGAAACACTGCAGTAGATGAAAAACACCCGCAGGCCACTCTGCCCAATACCCAGTATCTGGATGGGCAGAACGGTTTGGATACGTGGCACTTGACTCTCCACAGAGATTGTGGCCTGGAATTTTCTTCCCATAAAATCAGGCTTTGCCAGCTTGCTCCTCTACCTCTCAGTACATTTGCTTTCATCCCAAAGTCCTTGGAATAACATTCCCTCCCCAGTAATCTGAAGAATCTGGAAGTCACAAAAATTAATTTGAAAAGCTGCAGTTGTTCACCATCCCCGCGGACGGAATCGTCTTTCAGTAGCTGGAGTGTTGAAGTAGCATTTGTACATACAGTAGCCTTTTCGGGAAGGAAATAGATGAAATTCCAAATACCTTTGCCTCTTAATAGTAGTTTTAAATGACTGACTTCCTGCACGAGGGTCTGTCTTGCTTTTACAACTGGGTTATTTTATGGAGGAGTTTTCTTCACTGGTGCTGTCCTGATGCACACAACCCTTCCATTAATTTCAGTGGGATATGAAAGGGAAACAGGTTTGGACCCTTAGGGTATGTGTACATTGCACGCTGAGCCTGGACTCTTACTCCGGTTTGAGCCCAAGCCCCCTCTCCATCCACACACAAATCAGTCTGACTTAGGTCAGCAAGCACCCAGGCCCTAGGACCCTGCTGGGGGCTAGGGATCGGAGCCTGAGTCTCTCTGGGCACGTCTACATGGGGATAAAAGACCCATGGCACAGCTGTGGTTGGCCCGAGTCAACTGACTCAGGCTCACTGGGCTTGGTCTGCAGGACTAAAAATTGCTGTGTAGACGTTCGGGCTCGACCCAAACTCTGGGACCCTCCCTTGTTGCAGGGTCCCAGAGCGCAAGCTCCAGCCCAAACCCAAACATCTACTCAGCAATTTTTCATCCCCAGAGTTCTTACCCCAATGAGCCTGAGGGCTGAACCAGGCCAGCCTTGGGTCTTTTATCCCTGTGTAGATATACCTTCTGAGACTCGGGTCCAGGCCCTGTCATTCTGCAGTGTGGACACAGGTCAGGCTGCAGACCCGAGTCAGAAGATCTGCATGGTGCAGTATGGATGCGTTAGCACGGCTCTGAGATCCAGGTCCCAGGTCTACCATGCAACATGGAGGCTCAAGTATGGGCTTGGAAACACCGGGTCCCACAGACCCAGACTTAGTATGCGGCATAGGCATAGCCTCAGAGCTGTGGGGTATTTGTTGACTGATGGAGGCCCTGTTGATTTGTGGTTAACCCGTACAAGGGCCTGATGCTAATCCCATCAATGTCAAGGGAAGGACTTTGATGGGCTTTAGATCAGGCCCCAAATTAATAAACTGAGTCCCTGTATCCATCCCTGGTGTATTGTGCCCAGACATGAGAGTATATACATCAGTCTGGGCACAATACTAGAGCTCAGTGAGAGATTTCACCTAGTAAACCTACAGGGCTTTAGGTTCTGGCTAAAACAGCACTTTTTTGTCCATCCAAAAGGATGCTTGTATTCAAAAGGCATATAGGCACACTCAGGCAGGTGGAAATTTAGCCCTCACAGGACTGTCAAAGGTCTAGCCCTGCACAGCATTCGCACACATGCGCACCTCACAAAGATTTTTGAAAAGGGTTTTTTTATCACCTGCTCTTTCTGCACCTTTACAGCTTGACCTGCTTCCACCAAGACCAAGAGTTGCCAAGGCATCATTTGCCTTAGCTCCCTACGTTGCAGGCCTGAGAGCAGACAGGACATCTGGCTAGGTGCTGAACATAAGCTTGTTGTAGATGGAATGGAGGAAATGGCTGGAAGCTACTTTTCTGTTTCCCTGATGCTGGGTCTGCCAGGACCAAAATGGCCTCTGAAATAATTTAGAGCAGCCTACAGGCAACTCTAAATTGTGCTAGCTGGAATGGTCCCATAGGGGACACACACCTGGCTGAGGATTGGGCATAACACAGTCCACTCCATCTCCTCCTGTTCCTGACACACCTTGACCCCTCCTTTATGATTCGGCTCTAAGAGTTGGGTTAAAGAATCCATCCAACATCTTCATTATGGAAGCCCACATAAACTAAAAATATATATATTCTTTGATGCTTGCTAATCTTCAAATATGTTTCTGGAGCTCATATCCAACGCAGAGTTTTTGTTTCCTTTTTACCCAAGAAAGGTTTAGGAAATTATTTAGGAAAACTTAAAAAATACTAGGCAAAAATTGTGTTGCTGCACTTAGAAGGAAAGGTGAGAGTTAAATGAAAGATGAGTGCTCTGAAATGGTTGGAGCTCTGAATATATTTCACTATTTACTGATTTCAGCAAGAATTTCTTGGACCCAACTGCTAAACTGTCAGACTTCAATCAGGTGCAAGATGGGCAGCCTAGATAATAATGTACAAGTCTTGTCTCATAAACCAGGAGTCTGTTTAAAGCCAGCAGTGTTTTGATTCTTTTTCACTCTACAGCTGCCAATTTTAATAGCTTTGAAAGTGTAACACAGCAAGTCTGCAAGCTTCAAGGAGAGAAAGGAAAGCATGAGATTAGTTTATGGCTGGTTTGCAAGCCTCAGACAATCAAAGGGGATCAAATAGCTATTCTGTTCTATCAAGTTCTTATATTGTGCTTGCTGCTTTGGTATCCGGGTGTCTAGATCTATCTAATCTACCGGCATCAATACTCTTTCAAAGGTTAGAAAATGAGTGCTTAGACTTGAATGTAACCTTTATAATGATGTAGTTGCTTTGAGTGGAGGAAACATTAATTTCCAAAATCCCAAATGACAGAAGATTGCTTTCTAGAACAGTTTCATTACTAATGCTATTTTAAAGTTTACATACATATATTTTAAATGTAAAGCACATTACAGTTTATTTATATACACATACGTATATAAATAAATGTAATGACGCTGCACATCTAAAATGTAACTTGTATTACTAATAACATATTCGATTATTATTGAAGTAATTATATGCATCTGATTGACTGTTCACTAATTATCCTCTCTGTTTACTGTTTGCACTTCACTCAGTTTGAACGAGAAAAATGGGCTAGTAAGTTCCATTCTTTTCCTAGTCAGAATCTAGTCACTTTAGCATTCTGGCTCTTGTGCACTAGCACAATGCTCCAATACTCCAAGGTTACGTTTAAACTCAAATGAAAGCTCATTTCATTGAAAGTTAATAGAAAATTTCCTAGTAATCCTAGTTGCTTTTACAGAAGAGAAATTTTGGACATAAACTTTTGTGAGGATAGGCTTTTAATATGTATGTTCTCCTGATATGCATCAGGTAGCAAATACATTGTACAAGCATTGCTCATGTTGGTGAGAACTCATTCTATTACTCCTGATTGCAGTGGGATGACTGGATGCAGGAGTCCCCCAGTGTAAGTTAGAGTTGGGCCATCTAGCCCCGTACTAGTAGTATCTTTACAAGAACACCGTGTAATCATTCTTCCTTCCGTTTCATTTGTAAACGGGTGCCGCACAGCACTGCTTCTCCCTGTCTTCCCCCCGCCCTTTAATTTCCTGGCAGTGGAGTGACAGAGAAAATGTCTCGATGTTCAGAATCCAGAGGACTTTGATTCTTTAGAAATCAGATCTGAACAATTAAGGTAGCAAAACTTCAGCATTTCCAGTTTACATGACATTAATGTTACCTAATAGCAATTTAATGTAATTAGAGAGGCCTTCCTACACTGAACTGCAGAATGTGTACAGTTTAGCTACTTTGTAACTCCTCAGCTAAAACTAAATACTTTTATTTTTCCTTTAAACTCCCATCTGGTACAAGGCTTCTGCATCTTGCTGTTGAAGTGGGCTGATGCTGAATCACTGTGAGTCTATCTTTTAATTATGGAATTGCTTTCATTTCCTTCCATTGTGTTTGATTCTTTCCAGCTTTAAAAGATTCCAGTAAGAGATCCATTAACAGCGACTGGAAAATTGAGCTTCCTGGTGAGTTTCAGATCGCAGGCACTACTGTCCGGTACGTGCGAAGGGGTCTATGGGAGAAAATGTCTGCCAAAGGACCAACTAAAATACCACTGCACTTGATGGTAACTTTATATCCTTTGTTTATGTTTCTTAAGTGATGCAACATAAAGGGTTTATATCCAAGCTCAAAGTTCAACTTAAACTATTTGCTTCCTCCCCAGGGTTTTAAGGAAAATCTATTGCTTCTCCCCCTGATTTCTTTTGCAGGGTTACAGGGGCAACGCTTACAGCTCACTTAAGGTCTATTTCGTGTCAGCTTGCAATCTCCATAAAAGCGTCACACTGTGATGTACATTACATAATGAGACATAGACACTGGTACAGACCCAGTTTTCCTAGGGCCTCTGTGTTTTGTGCACATAACCATTTGCACATGTAAAAGGACGTTGTTGACTCACCCAGTGTATGTTTCTCTGTTTAAATGACCTTTTGCTCACACAGATAATAAAAGATGCACATTTTGTGTATGTACAAACACATGACCTGTGCAAATATGGCACCGTATATTGATTTACACACACAAATCATCTTGAATTATATATTGAATAGATTGAGAACTGTTAAATTTCTTTGCTCTGGTTCAACATAGTCTTTCTATTTACACAGGATGTTATTTTATAAACACTGAAGCAATGTGAGTCAAGAGACCTCTTGGGTCAAGAGATTAGGAAGCTTTTCCCAGCGCTGTCACTGGCTCAGTGTGTAACTTTGGGCAAGTCATGTAATCTCTCTCTGACTTAGTTTCTCCCTCTATAAAACGGGGATAATAATACCCCTGCCTCCCGTGGATGTTAATACATGAATGTTTGCAAAGGGCTTTGCAATTCTGGGATAGAAGACACTATAAAAGCACAGCATATTGTGAAGTATGCACAGCTCCTCTAACTTCTATTTTCTGTCCACTTTGATTTTTCTAGGCACTGTTTCCTTTCTCTGTGACTTTCTTGCCAGGGTCTGCCCACCCCAGCCCTTCTTTAGACGCTGCTAAAAATCAAACGGCTCTCTGCTTTTCCTCACCTAAATTTGTAGGGCCCCTTTTTAATCTGCTTTGCGCTGCTCTAGTTTTCTTTTTCATTGTCCTGTTTGAAAAGCTCAGAGCTACCATGAACTTTTCACAAAAAAGTATAAGAATATTAACCCTTCCCTCTTCACATTGCTTTTCCCATGCAGCTCTCAAAATGCTTTACAAAGGAAGGGAAGTGTCCGTTATTCCCATTTTAGGGAAGAGGTGTGGAGTGACTTGCATGGGTCACACAGCAGGCCAGTGGCAAAGCTGAACTGAGATTATTCCTCAGTATTCAAAAGGGCACATTTGGGGATTCCTGCAATTCCCTAATGTATTCATGAAACTCATGGTTTGTGCATGTAAAGCTAAACCTGTACAAAAGTCTTGGGCCTATATTTTCCATTAGCACTTTTTAAAAGTCAAATTTCCATGGTGACTTCTTCAACATTAAGAATGTCAGCTTCACAGTTTGGCTTAGATCCAGACTTTCCACCCTGAAACCAAACCTCTTACAAAGTAGCCTGTATATTACTGAAGAACTGTCTGCCCTCAGGGCACCATATAAAATATGAATTTGCATGAGCTCAGGTTTGTAAAAACGTCATGTAAGATTCCTGTGCCTTTTGTGGCTAGTTCTGACTATTCCAAGGTTTTCCTTGGTTGAGGCTCACAGCAGTAGATTCTGGTGCTGTCAGTTTTGAAAACTTGAGCATTGCTGTGTGTCTTCTTTTTTTTTTAACTGAAACAAAAAAACCAGCCGCCTCCCCGCAAATATCCAATAAAATAACAACAAAAAGGTTGTATTCCTAGGAAGCTTCTCCATAAGCTCTATTCATTATACAGTAGATCCTCAGAGTTCCAAACCCCTTGGGAATGGAGGTTGTTCAGAACTCTGAAATGTTGGTAACTCTGAACAAAACATTATGGTGGTGCTTTCAAAAGTTTACAACTGAACAGTGACTTAATACAGCTTTGAAACTTGACTATGCAGAAGAAAAATACGGCTTTTAACCATCTTAATTTAAATGAAACAAGCACAGAAACAGTTTCCTTACCTTATCAAATCTTTTTTTAAAAAACTCCCCCTTTTTTTTAGTAGTTTACATTTAAACACAGTACTGTACTGTATTTGCTTTTGTTGTTGTTGTTGGCTCTGCTGGTGCCTGATGGTCTACTTCTTCTTCGAGTACTCGCTCATGTCCATTCCAAGTAGATGTGTGCGCGCCGTGTGCACAGTCATTGGAAGGATTTTCCCCTAGCGGTATTCGTCGGGTCAGCTGTGGAGCTCCCTGGAGCCATGTCTTCATGGCGGTGTATATAGGTCCCTGCCGAGCTGCCGCCTCTTCAGTTCCTTCTTACCACCAGTGACGGTCCTTGGAGCAGCTCTCTTCTCTTGCTACAGCAAACCATCACCTAGGTCAGTGTTTCCCAAACTTGGGACACCACTTGTGTAGGGAAAGCCCCTGGCGGGCTGGGCCGGTTTGTTTACCTGCCGTGTCCGCAGATCCAGCCGATCGCACTCCCATTGGCTGCGGTTCGCCGCTCCAGGCCAATGGGAGCGCGATCGGGTGGCGCTGCGGAACCGGCGGGGTAACCCAACCCGCCAGCCCCCCCGGGGGGCTGCCCGCCCAAAATGCCGG